TATTTTTTTGTCGAAAAAGAGTCGATTACACTGATTAAATTGAGTTGAATAAACTACACTAAATGCCAAATAATAATCATTAAAAAAAAAAAAACTTAAATATTTGCCAAACAAGTGGCATTCGTAAAAAAAAAAAAAAAGGAACATTAGGCAATAGTTTAAACAAAATAATCATATTCACTTCAATTCATAAAATTATTTTGTTCATCCAATTCACAACTGGATTAACAATAATTCTCTCTCTGATTGGTTAAAAAAATGTAATATTTCTAATTCGATAAAGATATTATAGACTCGCCAAGACTTTTATCTGAGTTATTTCTAATTTGACAATGTCTTAATGTAAAATTCTTTTTTTACAAAATGAGATATAGATGTGAATAAAATGTGAATCCTACATATGAATTCCTCAATTATTTCATATCTGTATTTAATTCTTTGAAAATTTTGTGCATTCTTTGCATAATTGTGGGTAGTTCCCTGCTCTACAGCCTATGGAACTTTATACACATCCGATTACAGTAAACTTTTGGTGATTTCTGCAGTCTCGATTCTCCAGTACAGAAAAAGCTTTTCTATTACCAATTTTTTTTTTAAAAAGGTTTTCATTAAAGAATTCTCCCAATCTTTGTAGTAGTTAAAAAAGAAGCTCTTTTTTGTCTAAGTAGGTCTACATGACGACAAAAAGAGAAGAAAGACTGAGGACCTTACCAGACTACTACCATATTTTTTATTTATTTTTTCTTTCCTCAGTATCGATGTTGGAAAAGGTCAAGAGGTTACCAACCCATATTCTATTTATGAAAAATTATAAATATACTTTTTATATTTGTATAAAATATAAATTATTTTTTATAATTTAAAAAATTATAAATTCTCATTATTATAATTTTTTATTTAATAAATTTTTAAATATTCTTCTATATAATAATAAAATTATTTGAATTCTTAGTTGAAATAAATTTCTGACATCATTAAAAGCTGTTAATTAACTTAATAATTTATTAATAAAAGAGACTATTTATTATGAATTATAAATTTCAAGGGACTAGATATAATTTTTAAAACTACATGAGATAATTTATATTTTAAATAAATTTTAGTAAACATATTTTGTAATTTATCTTTAATTTGTTTATGTTTTTGTGGATTCCCCGACAAACGTTAGTCTCTGTACTACTCAAGGACAATGTGGGACTGTGTTTGTTGTTGGTCTAATTTCCTAATCACCCAAAGCCTAATAGCCGGTGTGAATGGGATGATTTGGAAAGAAACGAAAATAAATAATGAGAAAAGTAAATTATTTTCTTATGTTTAGCTTGAAGTTGAGTAAAAAATAGTGAAGTGTGAGAAATAAAAACAAAACTCTTGCTTATTTCACTTCTTAAAAAGATGAGATTTTGTCATAAACAAATTGATTAATTGTATTGATAATTTTTTTTTGATTAATTGTAAAATATTTATAATACTAAATTACTCCTTAAAATACAAAGGCTTGTTTTGAGAAATATGTTAAAAGTTAATTTTTTAACTTTTTAAAAAAATATGTAAAAAAAATAGAGATATGATATGATCTAAAAAAATCAAAAATTCAAAAAAACTGCTTTTAATCAATTTGTCAAAAGAAGCCAAAGAAAGAAAAAGTTATCTCAGTCGTATTTACTCACCCAAATATAATAACTAAAAAATATAATTTTTTTTCTCACTTTTTTTTTTTGAACAGTTTGTTGTTTCTTATTTTTTATCTCACTTACATACCATTACTATCCAAACGGAATGTAAGGGGAAGATTAGATAAACAGAAACTGAAAATAGAACCTTATTTGCTTTTCAATTCCAGCATCCAATGTTTCCTCTCTCTCTCTCTCCCTCTCCCTTCTTTTTTCTTTTTGTGATTGAATCCAATGTTTTCTTTTACCTTCACTTTTCATCCGTTTTGAGGTGACATTTCTTTTCATTGTACCCTAATGTCTTCTTGCTAACAATTCACTTGGGCCTTATTTGATTAGTTAGAATATTAGTGGTAAGATTAACAATTTTGTCGAATTAATAATTTTATAGAATAATTATGTGTAGGATTGTCAATACCTACTCTCTTTTGATATTAAATATATTACAATTTTATAGGATTAAAAATTCTATGTATTACTAGCCGATACTATTTGTGTGATCAAAATACAAGAATATAAATTTGATAGGATTAATAGTTCAATCCTTATAGGCCTTTATGGATGTAACACATTCTGATTAGTGCCTCATAATTTGTTGCACTTAGATGAACTAGATGAATTCACTTGGGCTAGATTGTCGGATTAAGATGGATAATATTATGAGTATCAGTGTGGTGATATTAAGTTAAAAATATAAAATAAATTACGTTTATTTGTATATTAGTATTGTAATATTAGTTGATTGAGATTAAATTTATAAAATTTCAAAAAAAAAAAATCATTATATAAAACGCGACATTATTATTTTTATAAAGTAGAGGTAAAAGAGTTATGCTAAAAACCTCAAATAAATTATCGAACCTTTCACATGGTGTGTGACCCACACACAAATCACATGTGTGTGAGTCCCACAATGTGAGTGTGGGTCCTACACCATGTAAGATGTTTGGTAATTTACTTGGAATAAATAGCATTTTCCGAAGTAAAATGATATTTGCATCTCTAATCTCATTAGATTGTGAATCTCAACACAATCATGGAAATGTTAATCTCATTTTTTGGAAGGATTAATAATCTTACGAAACTCCTAATTTCATGTTATTTTTGTGAACTAAACATGATTTATATAGAGTATACTTGATTCTCAATCTAATATCACCATTTGCAGAGCGAAACAAACATGACTTGAAAATCTTTATAGCCATAGTATACCATGATTGATATATTTATTTATTTTGCAAATTGTGAGTGTTGGCAATACCAAAAATATGCAATTAAACTCACAACTAGTAGAAAAGGGTCAAGAAGACCATGTTATCATTGGACAAACAATATTTCATAATTTGTCATGTTATTTTTATTCTTTTAAATATTTAAGCACATAGCTCATTGCTATGAAGCAGATACACAACTAACGTATATTTGAAGAAGTTAAATAAAACTTGAATGATAATTTGAAATGAATTAGACAGTTTTACTAGCACTAATCATGGTATTAGACATTCTTTATGAGGTACTAAAAAAATAGCCATAACGAACTTACTTAGCAGCTTGTAAACCCTGATTGGAATTTTGGTCAATAACAACCTTAATTAATAACTCCTAAAATTAAGGTAAAGCTCTAATCTCCTATCCCAATCTCCTACTACTAAGTGCAAGAATTTATGTAAATAACCTAACTTGTTGTATTGTAAAATTTTTCTAACTTTGCAAGATTAAAAGAAAAGTATATGAAAATTTTCATTGTATTTATATTCAGTGTATTTGGTTTGAGTTTTTTGAATTAAATTTTTTGAAAATTGAGTTTTTTAATTTTCGTGTTTTTTTGTTTTTAGTGAATATGAAAAAAATTCAGTAAAAACAAAAAAACATGAAAAATAAAAAAGTAGACTTTTCTGAAAAGTGTTTTTAAAAAATGATAACCAAGCATATTGATTAGTTTTTTTTAATTATTTTTTTCTAAAATAATATTTCCATGATAATGAGGGTGTTTGTTTCAGCTTTTCAGAGCCAACTTATGGCTTTTAGCTTTGAAAAAATTATTTTGAACTGTTTGGTTAAACTTATTTCAAACAGTTTCTAATTCTAACAGCTTGTTTTAACTCAAAAAAGTTGATTCTGAGAAGCTGCTCACCCCTTGCTTCTGATTATCAGCTTCTGCTGTGGACATGTTACTTTATGGTTATACTCTTAAATTTTTTTATTTTTTATTTTTTTAAAAATAGAAAAAGACTCAAATGGACTATAGATTATTATTATTATTTTTTATAAGAAATGTAGACAAACAAAAAATAAAAATTAATTGAAAAAGCTATTTCACAGCTTATTTAACAAACACTACTCAGCAATTTAAATCTATAATCCAACAGTTACACCAAATAAATTAATAACTTCTGATTAAAATCATAATGTATAATCTATTAAGGTATAATCTATAAGCTGTTTTAACAGTTACACCAAACGAGGCAATATATCTTAGATGGCCTATTAGGGGTAGCTGGCTGCTATAAACTAGGCATGGGGCAATGGTGGATGGACGGTCACCAATTCCCACTTGGATCCCAACAAGAGAAGAGAATATATAGGGTTTGGATTTTTGTTGTTGGGTTTTTTTGGATTAAATTTATTAATGAGATTTGTTTGTTATTTATATTTATATTATTATATAAAATGCATAGTTAATATGAATTTTTGTTATAATTTCCATTTCAATGTTTGGATTGGAAGGTCGAGTTTAATGTATTGTGTGCCCTTTTCGGATACTCCTCAATTATCTAGGCTATTTAATTTTTAATACCTCTCAAATAAATCATTCTTAAAAAATAAAAAATATTAATATATGGTCTATTTTTTAAAATAATACTTCTCATTTATATTTGAGAAATTTTTTGTAAGGTCCCTGTTGTTAAAATTTTATAAAATAAATGGCATACTATGAGTGTGTTTGGTTTGTGTTTGTAAAGTAGTTTTTGAGATAAAAAGTAAGAAAATTTATTTAGTTTGTCTTTTTTTAAAAATAGTTTTGAAAAATTATTTTGGGGAGAGAGTTTTAAAAAAAGTGATTGATTTGATGTGTATAAGAGAAAGAGTGATTTTGGAAAGTAGGTAATCAAACAAAATTTTGAGATTTTTTTTGAAAAAATTTGTTTGGTTTAATTACTCTTGAAAATTTGTTTGTAAATAATTTTTTCCAAAATTTTTTCTGAAGGACACTAACAAATCCTTAAAAAAAATTAATAATAAGGCGTAGCGTGTCCTTGTAGAGGGGGTTTGATTTGTATATAATGAAGAAGTTGGTGTGTAGTCTACCCAGTTCTCTCTTCCTACTCCTTGTTTCTCTCTCTCTCTCTCTATATATATGCATTCATTGAGCTTAATTGGGTTAATTTGTTGATAGTTGTTTGAGAGAGTACTATAGTGAAGAAGATGGGGAGACAACCATGCTGTGACAAAGTAGGGCTGAAGAAGGGACCATGGACAGCTGAAGAGGACAAGAAGCTCATTAACTTCATCCTCTCCAATGGCCAATGCTGTTGGAGAGCTGTCCCTAAACTCTCAGGTCTCCCCCACCCCACCTTTTATTCCAATTTCTCCTACCAACCTATTGATTGAGATGTGTATGTATATATATATATTTTTTTTTTCTCGTAAACGAAAGAATTTGAGATTTTATTCTGACTAACTCAGAGTACATATAATTTCCATATGATTTTATCGAGAAAATCAGACAATTATCCTAATATATAGCGTATTTTCTCGATAAATTATTGGGCAGGACAGGTAGTCAATAAAACAATCATTATACAGAAGGTATATGCTAGAAAAGCTGCCCACAAGATAAACTATAAAAAATTTGTAACATTACAGGCTTTAGTGCTTAAAAAATAAAAAAATAAAAAAAAATAAAAAAAAAAGAAAGAGAAATGAGTAAATGGTTATGGCGGGTGTGATTGCAGGATTGTTAAGGTGTGGTAAGAGTTGCAGGCTGAGATGGACAAACTACCTTAGGCCAGACTTGAAGAGGGGTCTCTTATCAGACTATGAAGAGAAGATGGTTATTGATCTCCATGCTCAGCTTGGCAACAGGTTTCTCTCTCTCTTTCTCTCTCTCTCTCTCTCTCTCTAAATCATTTTTTCTCTGCTCTTGCCAATTAACCAGTGGCTCAATTCCATGCTAAATTTGGTGAATAGTCTGCTACATTTTCACTTAGGTTCCGTTATTTTAATGTAAAATAATTTTTTTAAAAAAATATTTTTTTGAAAATAGATTTTACATAGGAAAATATTTTTGTTTTTGTTTTTCAGTATTTGGTTGACACTTGGAACAAAAATATTTTATTATCTAAAAGAGAAATTTTAATTCAATAAAGTGTTATTTATGACTTTTAGTGAGATAATATATTTATTTAAAAATGATAAGTGTTCGTTTAGGAAGAAAAAAAATCCGGTGCTTTTTGACTATTTTAGCCACAAAAAAAACAAAATAGATTTTTCAGTCAAATAAGATAAAACATCACATCAAATCCATCTTAAACTAGACTTTGTAGCTCTAAGCTAAAATAGTCAAAAAGTTAAAAAACCAAAAAATCAACCTACATCCCAAGGTAGTGAGTGAGGATTAATTTTGTAAAAATTAATTTATAAATTTTTTAAAAATAAGTCATTTTAAAAAAAAAATGATATAAAAATATTTTCTACAAATTTACTTTTTATTTAACTAAATAATAAAAAATAAATAAAATATATTTACGTCAAAATAAACGGAGACTTGATTCTCATTCATGTAAGTTGTTTGTAATTGGAGACAACTTTTAGAGTGAACGACTCAAGTGGCATATCAGAGATGGTGATTGAGAATTTCGCCAATTGATCCTCTGTATTGCATAGTGAATGACTATAAAATAAAGTATGTAAATTTATTATTATATCAAATTAAAAAAAAAAATTATTACACATATTAAAATTATTTTTTTACGACATTGACCATATAATTGAGAGTATGTCAATTCAACAGTGGAGAGATGAAGACCTGAGTCTTGGACAGGCTCCCATACCAACACGCTAAGCCCTTGGCTTCAATAAAAGATGCAGATTTAGAAATTCATTAAGCTACCCATTCATTATCATAAGGAAAATGACTTGTACCTCCCCAAGGGCACCCCACTACCTTCTCTTTTTATGATTGGTTAATTTTTCTTTTCTTTTTCTTCTCCTCCAATCTTCAGCTCCCATGTGTCTATGAAGTGGTGAAAGTGATGATTGAAGGAGTCTCAATCACTTCTGTTATTATAATTTTATTTAATTAAGTTCTCTCTCAATCATATGCAGCTGACCAAAATAAAGGAAAGGTGTCTCATAAAATTTTTAAGAGTAGTAAATTACATTGATAATTCTTGTGTTTTTATTTTTATTTTGATTTTTATTGTGATTCTTATGATTTTAACTAACTCAATTTTAATTTTAAATTTATAATTTTTCTCAATTTAATCTAATTACTTACTGGGTTGCTTGTTATGGATTATTTTAACCAATTTATAGATTTTAGCTTTGAAAAAATTATTTTGGACTATTTAGTTAAACTTATTTTAAAGAGTTTCTGATTCTAATAATTTATTTTAACTCAAAAAAATTGATTCTGAAAAATTGTGCATTCTCTACTTCTGATTATTGGTTTTTATTGTAGGCATCAATTAACAATTAATAGGTGTAAAAATGACATTTACACATCAAAAAGTTATTTCATAGCTTATTTACTAAATATTACTTAGCAATTTAAATTTATAATCAAGCAGCTGCACCAAACAGATTAATAATTTCTGATTAAAATTATAATCTATAATCTATTTTAACAGCTGCATCAAACACTCCCTACAATTGTTAGCATTTTTCAATGTTTTCTTTTACCTTCACTTTTCATCCGTTTTGAGGTGACATTTCTTTTCATTGTACCCTAATGTCTTCTTGCTAACAATTCACTTAGGCCTTATTTGATTAGCTAGAATATTAGCGGTAAGATTAACAATTTTATGGAATTAATAATTTTAGGGCATGTTTGATTAGGTGGATTAGAGCATGAGATTAGGATTATTAATCCGTGGGCCCAATTATCTCATGTTTGTTTTAACATTTTGGTTTAGGGTTATTAATCCAATGGATAATTAATCCAACAAATTTGTAGGATTATTAGTAATGAGGTAGGGGTGGGATTATTAATCCAATGGATATTAATCCAATTGGATAGTGAATCCTACACTAATTTAATAAGATTATTAATACTTCACTATTAGTCTTTTGAATCAAACATGACCTTATAGAATAATTATGTGTAGGATTGTCAATACCTACTCTCTTTTGATATTAAATATATTACAATTTTATATGATTAAAAATTCTATGTATTACTAGTTGATACTATTTGTGTGATCAAAATATAAGAATATAAATTTGATAGGATTAATAGTTCAATCCTTATAGGCCTTTATGGGTGTAACACGTTCCGATTAGTGCCTCATAATTTGTTGCACTTAGATGAACTAGATGAATTCACTTGGGCTAGATTGTCGGATTAAGATGGATAATATTAGGAGTATCAGTGTGGTGATATTAAGTTAAAAATATAAAATAAATTATGTTTATTTGTATATTAGTATTGTAATATTAGTTGATTGAGATTAAATTTATAAAATTTCCAAAAAAAAATCATTATATAAAACGCGACATTATTATTTTTATACAGTAGAAGTAAAAAAGTTATGCTAAGAATCTCAAATAAATTATCGAACCTTTCACATGGTGTGTGACCCACACACAAATCACATGTGTGTGAGTCCCACAATGTGAGTGTGAGTCCCACACCATGTGAGATGTTTGGTAATTTACTTGGAATAAATAGCATTTTCCGAAGTAAAATGATATTTGCATCTCTAATCTCATTAGATTGTGCATCTCAACACAATCATGGAAATGTTAATCTCATTTTTTTGGAAGGATTAATAATCTTACGAAACTCCTAATTTCATGTTACTTTTGTGAACTAAACATGATTTATATAGAGTATACTTGATTCTCAATCTAATATCACCATTTGCAGAGCGAAACAAACATGACTTGAAAATCTTTATAGCCATAGTATACCATGATTGATATATTTATTTATTTTGCAAATTGTGAGTGTTGGCAATACCAAAAATATGCAATTAAACTCACAACTAGTAGAAAAGGGTCAAGAAGACCATGTTATCATTGGACAAACAATATTTCATAATTTGTCATGTTATTTTTATTCTTTTAAATATTTAAGCACATAGCTCATTGCTATGAAGCAGATACACAACTAACGTATATTTGAAGAAGTTAAATAAAACTTGAATGATAATTTGAAATGAATTAGACAGTTTTACTAGCACTAATCATGGTATTAGACATTCTTTATGAGGTACTAAAAAAATAGCCATAACGAACTTACTTAGCAGCTTGTAAACCCTGATTGGAATTTTGGTCAATAACAACCTTAATTAATTAATAACTCCTAAAATTAAGGTAAAGCTCTTATCTCCTATCCCAATCTCCTACTACTAAGTACAAGAATTTATGTAAATAACCTAACTTGTTGGACGTGTATTGTAAAATTTTTCTAACTTTGCAAGATTAAAAGAAAAGTATATGAAAATTTTCACAATATTTATATTCAGTGCGTTTGGTTTGGGTTTTTTGAATTAAATTTTTTGAAAATTGAATTTTTTAATTTTCGTGTTTTTTTTGTTTTTAGTGAATATTTTTAAAAATTTAAACATTTTTTTTTACGTTTTTAGATGCACCTTACTTAAATGTATCTAAAAAGTAAAAAAATTGTGAAAAAATATTTTTAAAAATTAATAAATACATAAAAATATAAAAAATGTGCTGAATTCTCGTATTTTTTTTATATTTTTTGTATCTATTGAATTTTTAAAAGGATTTTTTCATTTTTTTTTTACTTTTTAGGTATATTTATGTTAGGTATGTCTAAAAATTAAAAAAAATTTGCTCAAAATATGAAAAAAATTCAGTAAAAACAAAAAAAACATGAAAAATAAAAAAGTAGACTTTTCTGAAAAGTGTTTTTAAAAAATGATAACCAAGCATATTGATTAGTTTTTTTTAATTATTTTTTTCTAAAATAATATTTCCATGATAATGGGGGTGTTTGTTTCAGCTTTTCAGAGCCAACTTATGGCTTTTAGCTTTGAAAAAATTATTTTGAACTGTTTGGTTAAATTTATTTCAAACAGTTTCTAATTCTAACAGCTTATTTTAACTCAAAAAAGTTGATTCTGAGAAGCTGCTCACCCCTTGCTTCTGATTATCAGCTTCTGCTGTGGATATGTTACTTTATGGTTATACTCTTAAATTTTTTTATTTTTTTAAAAATAGAAAAAGACTCAAATGGACTATAGATTATTATTATTTTTTTTATAAGAAATGTAGACAAACAAAAAATAAAAATTAATTGAAAAAACTATTTCACAGCTTATTTAACAAATACTACTCAGCAATTTAAATCTATAATCCAACAGCTACACCAAATAGATTAATAACTTCTGATTAAAATCATAATGTATAATCTATTAAGATATTGTATAATCTATTAAGGTATAATCTATAAGCTGTTTTAACAGTTACACCAAACGGGCTAATATATCTTAGATGGCCTATTAGGGGTAGCTGGCTGCTATAAACTAGGCATGGGGCAATGGTGGATGGACGGTCACCAATTCCCACTTGGATCCCAACAAGAGAAGAGAATATATAGGGTTTGGATTTTTGTTGTTGGGTTTTTTTGGATTAAATTTATTAATGAGATTTGTTTGTTATTTATATTTATATTATTATATAAAATGCATAGTTAATATGAATTTTTGTTATAATTTCCATTTCAATGTTTGGATTGGAAGGTCGAGTTTAATGTATTGTGTGCCCTTTTCGGATACTCCTCAATTATCTAGGCTATTTAATTTTTAATACCTCTCAAATAAATCATTCTTAAAAAATAAAAAATATTAATATATAGTCTATTTTTTAAAATAATACTTCTCATTTATATTTGAGAAATTTTTTGTAAGGTCCCTGTTGTTAAAATTTTATAAAATAAATGACATACTATGAGTGTGTTTGGTTTGTGTTTGTAAAGTAGTTTTTGAGATAAAAAGTACGAAAATTTATTTAGTTTGTCTTTTTTTAAAAATAGTTTTGAAAAATTATTTTGGGGAGAGAGTTTTAAAAAAAGTGATTGCTTTGATGTGTATAAGAGAGAGAGTGATTTTGGAAAGTAGGTAATCAAACAAAATTTTGAGATTTTTTTTGAAAAATTTTGTTTGGTTTAATTACTCTTGAAAATTTGTTTGTAGATAATTTTTCCCAAAAATTTTTCTGAGAAACAAACCAAACAAGGCCTATATTTTTATAGTAGTTAAGGTCTTACAATATTTTTGTAGTAGTTAAGGTCTTTCAATATTTTCACAGAAAAATTTTGTTCGACTCAAAGAAATTTCGGCTCTATTTGGTTTGGATTTCAAAACATAGTTCCACCACTGATTTAAGTGTGCTATTTGGTTAGATTTTTCAAATCATAATTCTACACCCATTTCTCAAAACTCATTTCAAACTATAATCATTACTTTTCAAAACTCATAACCAAACATACAACTCAAAACTCTTTTCAAAACTCAAAAACAACTTAATTTTTATTTTCTAAATATTTTTAATGTTTATACAGGCCTAAAAAATTAATTGACAAAAAAATTAATTGACATAGAAGTTATTTGAAAAAAAAATGATTTGAAAAAAAAATTATTTAAAAAAATTACTTAAAAACAATTAATTGAAAAAAAAATATTTTTTTATTTGAGTATTTTAAAAATAGTTTGGTTATGACTGTTGATCAAAAATACGGATATCGAGTTATGAGTTGTGTGTTTGATTGCCAATTATAGGTTGAATTAAGTTTTGAAAGCTATTTTGAAAACTCATCATCAAACAAATTTTCTTATTTCACATGTCACATCAAACTTTCAAAACTCAATTTCACGTACAATTTAAAACTCAATTGAACACTCTATTCAAAAACCATAACCAAATAAATTTTTTACACTCAAATCATAATTTTACAACTCACAAACTCAAAATACAACTCATAGTTTCAAATTATATTTACAAACTCTATCAAACGAAACTTTCAATTTTCACAGAGAAATTTCTTTGATTTCCCATTGATATTTTAAAATTTCTGTGTAAAAATTGAAATTTCTTTGAGTCGGAGCCAAAATATCTCTGAGTCGAGTGAAATTTCTCAGAGTCAAATTTTTTTTATGAAAATATTAAGGAACCTTAGCTAATAAAAAAATATTTTGGATCTCTCTTACTACATAAAGTTAAAAATAAATGTTTCACTAATTTTTTCTTAATTTTTTTATAAATAAATATAATTTAAACATATAATTGTTAATAATCGATGAAATTAATTTTTTAACAAATAATTTTCCCAATACATTAAAATTTAAACGATCCAAATCATACAAGCAAACCTAAAATGAGCCCAACTAGAGGGAAGTGCATCCCTATCAAAATTATCTTTTTAACTTCATCAAACTTAATAATTGTTCTGATTTGTTAAATTATTTGAGGGGTTATGTTATGATACACATTTTTACCATAATGAAGTCATAACATTTGTCCTACTAATGTTATAATTGAATTTTTTTTGGGTTATGACTAAATAATATATAAGATATAATCAAAAATTATTTAGATCATAACTAAATAATGTCATAATTATCATCATAATATATTATAATTAACACTATAATATGTATAATTAAATTATAACTAATATTAATAAATCATAACAAAAAGTTATAAACATCTTACTTGGAGCATATATAGGGTGCATGGTAGAATTTCACTTGCTTCACACACATAAATGTGTGTTCACATCTCCGTATATATATATATATATATACATACCTTAAACCCATTATTAAACCCTCACGGACACTATTTATCTTCCTCTGATTTGTCCATTTAGATCTCTCTCCTGTGCCTGAGTAAATATTCATATGCCATTTTTGGACACTTTGCCATTGTAGTAGGGTCTAGTAGGACGAGAAGCGTTTCTCCAACTAAAGCCAACGACGAGGAGAGAGCTTCTTTACGTTTTTTTTAATGCCAAAATACCCTCCAATTCCATTGCCCAAAAAGCAGACAGAGAGATTTGGAGTAGTATCCATTCACATAGAAGACATACGGGTCCAAAAAGGACCATCTTTTCTTACCCACAGTCGTGAACTGTTTAAAAGTAAGTAATTTTTACTCTGTTTATATGTTCAGAGACTCCAGACCTGTGTTCTCGCTTCACGGCAAACCATCATCAATTGATTTCTAGAACCTTTCTGTGCACCTGGTGTGGTTTGTTGCAATGCAAGAAGCTGACAAAGTGGGTTTTTGATTGTGTGAACACAGATTTTTGAGTACCCATTTGGTCATTTGGATTTGTGGGTCTGGTTCATCTCCCCAAAATCCCATCTGGGTACTCTTTTTTTTGCTCAAATACTGTAATTGTAAGTTCTCTTTGCTCTGCTTTCTCTACTTCCTGCAATATTTTTTTCTCTCCATTATTAGATGGTAATTCTTGTTGATAAATGGTGTTTGATTTGATTTCAGAGATGGGGTTTGAAGGGTCCAGGGATGGACACAAGCGTTCTAAGAGGTAGCCATGAGATTTCTTGTTCTGATATTTCTTTACTCAGTTTTCGGTATTTTGGAGCTGATGGGTTTCTTCAACTGAAAAGACTTGAAAATGGTTTAGTTTGTTTTAGAAGCAATAACTTTTATAGCACATCATTTATTGCCTCTTTTCAGTTTTTTGATGCCGTTTTCCCTATTTTCATTGGATCATTGATTGAAAGAATTTTTTTGGTATTTTTATTTCCAAAATAATTAGTGAAAAGTTAAGGAGTCCTTAGAAATGTGTGAACCTTGAATCTGGGTTAAGGCATGTAGTCCTACTTTCTTCTCCTTAATTACAAATCATTTACATAACTTAAGAATAATGTTAGGAATCATGCAAAAAATATCATGAAAATGATCATGTAAGATTCTCCACCTTTGGATTACCTATACAATAAAACATTACACACTAATCAAGGGATAAAAAATCTTCATAATGCATTTCATGGCATATTTTTCATAACTTAATTTGAGCCTGTCATCAATACCATATAGATTTGAATATGGCAAAAGATGCATTTGCAAGCTTCAAATTCTTTCTTTTCCCATTTATTTCTCTTGACATTTATATTGTTGATTTTCATTGGCAGCTTCCCAGATAAGGGAGTACTTGAAGGAGATAAATTGAATAATTTCCTTGAACCTTCGCACCGACTAAAGTTGGCAAGTCTCACTCTCTTCTGCCCTTTAGCCTTGTTAACTCAAAGTATTGTCACCGCAATAGAATGGAACTATTTTTTGGTTTTTTTTTTGATAATTTGTGCGCATCTCAACTAATCCTAGGATCTGAACTTAACGACTAGGCAAAAACCTGTAGGCACCCTTTGGGTGGCTCAAACTCGAGACCTTAGATTTTATCCTCAGGTCTTTATTGCTTAGTCAACCCCTTGGGGTTATCGTAGAATGGAACTCACAGCATTATGATTTTGTTTTGTCTACTACGTGCTTTTTATAAATTTCTTCTTTTACCCTTTGATTATCCAATGCATTTGCTCGCAGAATAATAGTTATTTCTGATAGTTCTATACTGAACTCTCAAACTGAATGAATCAATTTCTAGAGGACTATTTAACAACCAATTCCCATTTGTTCTAATCTTATAGTTATTTTTTTTTATCAGGATATGGGGCACTTGAAGGACAGTGCCAAGACCAAGAAGAAACAATTGCCTAGCTCTGAAGTCCAAAATTCTTTGAGGCAAGAGGTATAAAAATAGAACTAATATGTCAAACCGTGGTAATACAATTTAGGGGTTTCCTTACATTAAAAAGGTGACCCAGTGCACAAGGGAGGGCAAGATGTATGTAGCCTCACCATTTCTAGAGAGGTTGTTTCCGTAAAGGTTGTCTTACACTGAAATCCAAAATTTTTAATGTCCTAGTATGGAACTTGAACATGTAAATATCAATGTGCATGACACGGTTTCAAAAGATGCATGATACCCAAGCCAATCCAAATTCTTGCCCATGGCTTGAGTAGGGCCCGGCTCATGACAGGCATTGAATCTTAGATTATATTATTTAGTAATTTGTTTCACATTCTATGCAGATTCTACAACTTGAGAAAAGATTACAAGATCAAGTTGGTCTCCGTTGTGCTTTAGAAAAAGCACTGGGTTATAGGTCTTCCTCTCATTGTATCACAGATGGAATATCAATGCCTAAGGTAGCTTCTTTTTGCTTGTACATGTTTACAAATTACAAAGTTTAAAGTAGCTTACCCTAGCTTAATCACATCAATAACAATGTTGATATGTATCTTCCCTATCAACTCTTTTTTTTTTTTTGTGTGGCAAAACTAATATATATAGTAAGAGTGATTTCATTTTGAATCATTTGTTAAAATTTTCTGAACTGGTGGAGAATTTCTGTATTTTGCATGATTAGTGTGTTTCATAGCCTATTTTTCTTTTCTAGTAAGATTTTTACTCAATTAATGTTCGACACTGATCTCTTACGTATTTTTACTTTTCACCACTATTTCTTTCTGGTTAAATTGAAAGAATTCTTGTATTTGACTCCAGCCGGCGACAGAACTAATTAAAGAAATTGCAGTATTGGAGCTTGAAGTAGTGCACTTGGAGCACTATCTTCTCTCATTGTACCGGCAAGCATTTGATCAACAAGTTTCCTCCTTATCTCCATCTACAAAAGATGAAAGATTAAAATCACCATTGACTACCCCGAGAGGAAGGTGTCTACAATTTTCCAGGACTGACATTAATACAAATAGGGAAATTTCAACTCTTCAAACTAGCTGTCGATCGCTGGCCAATCCATGGAACGAATCCAGTAATATAGAAGAAGTGAAGCCAGTAGATTGCGGTGTACACCGCAGTCACTCATCGCTGTCACAACGTTCAGTTCCATCAACTAGAACTTCTCCCATGGAAGAGTCTCTTGGTAAAGCTGTTCGTGCCTGTCATTCTCAACCTTTGTCCATGATGGAGGTAAATTCATTTTAATCATGTACTTTTATAAATATCATTGTATTAATTTTGACTCCCACATAGCTATGAAGCATTGACAATCCAAAACAGTGTCAGACACAGTGACATGCTAGCTGGCATGCCCGTTTGTTTAATTAATTTGTTTTCAGGGGACACGCCAATTAGTTTTTTGCCCCATCTTCTTTAGCGCTTTTGATAGATGTTAGATGTTGAATGTTTATTGCTTTTTGCGTAGATTTAAATAATTAATAGATCATCTATGAAAAAAACATAAAAAAGACAAACAATAAGAGTTAACTTAAGAGTGGATTTATTTTTTGAAAATATTGAATTAGTGTTACTTTTTGTTAATTTTGATTATTTGTGGATGTAATATTAATTTACATTACAAATAAAAATATATATTTTTTTATTGTTGTGTCTTCATTGCGTCCATGTCCCCCTTTTTTTGAAATCACAGTCTCCATGCTTCTTAGCCCTATAGTTTCCAGCAACTCTTGCCACATCACACCGCGTAGGCCTGTTTATTTATTTATCTAATCTATTTTTTCACAGAGGGGATCTCTTTTTTTTTTTTTTTTTGTTCTTCTTTGCGAAGGGTGGGGATTACACAATATTCATATTTCAACAATATATATGGCAGTTCCTGCGAATTATGACTTTGTTGCTTCTTGACAGTATGCTCAGAATACTTCTTCAAACATAATCAGTCTGGCAGAGCATCTTGGTGCCCGTATTTCTGATCATGTCCCAGAGACACCTAACAAGCTTTCTGAAGATTTGATCAAATGCATGTCAGCTATATACTGCAAGCTCGCAGACCCACCCTTGACAAATCATGGTCTCTCATCTCCCATTTCATCTTTGTCGTCAATGAGTGCATTTTCTCCAAAAGATCAATGTGGTATGTGGAGTCCAGGGTTCAGGAAAGATTCATCTTTTGATGTACGGTTAGATAATCCTTTCCACGTCGAAGGACTAAAGGAGTTCAGTGGACCTTACAGCACAATGGTTGAAGTGCAACGTATATATAGAGAAAGTCACAAATTGGGTGATGTTGAGGACATGTTACAAAATTTCAGGTAAGCCTTTGTGACAAGAAAGTTGAAACATGAGAACATAATTTTGAATCTATGTTCTGTTTCAGTTTTGTTTAAAGCTCATTGAGTTATATATATGATAGGTCCCTTATTTGTCGATTAGAAGAGGTGGATCCCAGGAAGATGAAACATGAAGAGAAGCTAGCATTCTGGATCAACATACACAATGCGTTGGTGATGCATGTATTAATCTCATCATTAAAATACGAATTATCAAACACTGTAATCTTCTTTGCGCAGTTTTATCTCTGCTTTGACCACACTATAATGAGTTATTTATTTATTTGTTAGGCATTTTTGGCTTATGGGATTCCACAAAACAATGTGAAGAGAGTCTTTGTACTATTGAAAGTAAGAAAATCTTCATGGCGTTCTATTGAAGGAAATTTCTGTTTGAATGTTATTTTCTTACGACTTAATTTAAACCAGGCTGCCTATAATATTGGAGGTCACATAGTAGGCGCTGATACAATACAGAATTCCATCCTTGGATGCCGCATGTCTCGTCCTGGACAGGTATATCCCTTGTAGTCGCTTTTGTTTTGAAGGTTTTTGTGTTTGTTGAAGCCCTTGAAGTTGTTCATCTGTTATAGTCCTTGGAGCTATTCTTTCATGTATTCATGAGCTACATGATTTTCATGTGTTGGTTTCTGTTATAGCCTTCTTTTTCTTTTTCCTTTTTAAATACCCATCATTTTGAAATAGCCGCCCCCAAATTGTAAAGAAAAAAAGAAAAAATCATCTCCCAAATTGTTTGAAGTGAATTGTAATACAAGTAAATTAGAAATCATGTGTTTGAATGAAGTAATTATTGTCACATGTAGTGTGCCTGCTAAATTTTACTTCTACTTGTAGTGGCTTCGCTTGTTACTTTCTTCAAGAACGAAGTTCAAGTCAGGAGGTGAACGACAAGCATATGCCATTGAACATCCCGAACCCCTTGTACACTTTGCACTATGTTCAGGAAGCCATTCTGACCCTGCAGTAATTTCCTTTCTATAATCTTTTAGCATCACTCTTAAATAGCCTAATTTGTTATTTTGTATCTTTGAAAATGCTCTTGAATCTGCAAATTTGAAGAATCACCAACCTTACATCTAGTTATATATACTATATTTCCATCAATATTTCCAAATGGTGATCTTTCATTATTTTCAGGTTCGTGTTTACTCACCCAAGAGAGTATTTCAAGAGCTAGAACTTGCAAAAGAAGAGTACATTCGGGCTACCTTTGGCATAAGAAAAGACCAGAAAATTCTTCTACCGAAGATTGTGGAGTCCTTTGCAAAGGACTCAGGGTTGTGTCCAGTTGGTGTGATAGAGATGATCCAACAGTGTTTGCCTGAATCTGTTACAAAGAGTATTAAGAAATGTCAAGATGGGAAGCACCGCAAGAGCATTGAATGGGTTCCTTATAGTTTTACTTTTCGATATCTCATATCAAAAGAGCTGTTGAAGTGATTTATAGCACAGGTCGATTCCAAAACCGAAGGAGTTTTTATTTTGCTTTTGTACAAATGAATTAGATTTGTGTTTAGCTAACCTCCGTTTTGCTCCATCATGAAATTGGAAGTATGTTTTGTTTGCTGTAATTTCTGGTAGAATTAGTAGTATTGGATTTGAATTTTGTACATAAATGGTATACATGTTCATCCATTGATGAGAGTATTTTGGCCTAGACTAAGGCTTGGGGCTCTAAAACAAACCCAAATTCTTGAGCTTGCACCGTTTATGTTCTGCACATTTCGAATTTAAAAGCATGTTTTAGATCGACTACTGTGTAGATAATTAAGTTTCAACATATTTTGGGATCTGTTCATTTTTTAAGCTTGGTTTGAATTAGACTAGATAAGTTTATATATACTTTGATACTGTGTTTGGTTGGGGATTTGAGGAGGGATTTGGAAAGATAAATGGAAAAGATAGGTGAAATGTGAATAAAAATAAGTCTACTTATTAAGACCTACACGTAAGTACCCTAAAATATATCTATGTTTCATTTGTTTCATACACTTTTTTTCTTTTTCATTTCCAAATTCCTCTCTAAATTCTCCAATGAAACACAGCGTAAAAATTGAATAAAAAATAAAGTTACTTGAGGTCAACCCTCTGAATGGCGATCTAAATGTAGATTATATCTTCTACATCTTTCAAAATTCCTGAATTTTTTTTTCTTTCTTTTTATTAGTTATTATTTTAGAAATGTAGATTTTTTTTCTTTTAAAATTTTATTATTAGTTAATCTAGTTTTCAAATTATTTCCCAAATTCAAATACTTTGTGAAATCATAAATTTTAACAAGCTAGTTTCAATTCAATCTGTGATTCATCTTATCATCTATTTAGTCCTTCGATGAAATTACGCATTGAACTTGCATGCTAAATTATGACTTTAATATGCAATTTTAGTTATTTTTTATTATTTTTATTTTATTTTAAGAACTTACATTTAATCTCAAGTTTTGCATGTAATTTCATCATAATAATTCCACATTTAAGAAACGATTTCACAAAGTAGGTAGTATAGTAGGTATGAAATATAAGTTGAATTAAGCTAGTTTTTGTTGATAAAAGAATGATTAATATGCCTAATCTCTTTCCATTGTATGGTTATAAGCAATACCGGGGAAATTATTCAATGTTTTCGGAATACCACGTGGCTATATTCTTTAACCAATTATCTGTTGAAAATATATTCTCGATAATAATTAATTTAACAGAATAATAAAATAGATAAAAATTAAATACAGAACTTCAACTTACAACTTTCTGCAAAATCAAACTTAGAACAAATTTGTGATTGAGACCAGTGTTTGGACATTGTGTCTTTAAGACAGAAATTCGTCCTCTTCTAGGTGCTTGAGAATAACGGACGTCCTGCCTCTAGGATTCAACAATCACGCCAAACAGATGCAGCACTGCGTACTGTTTGTACAACGAACCAGGCTGTGATTTTTCGAACTCACACACGATGCAAAATGAAGAACTTATGAAGCAAAGATCGGAGAAGACTGGAACGGTAAAAACTATCTCTCTATTGGAATGGAGGGTTGATATATATAGGCTGAGAAGTGCCTATTCCGGAATAGAAGACCGTTGTGAAGAACAGTCACCAGGTTGGAAACGAGACTATCAGAGAAGGAGAGTAGTTGCAACCGAAAAATTTTAAATTCAAAATTTCAGATTTTGAATTTTTCTGCAAAAAATTAAAATAATTTTGGAACAAAAAATAAAGGACGGGTTAGACCCACACCGGCCGGACGGCGGTGGCGGCGCGCATGTGGTGATGGTTTTGGGTTTGTCCATAACTCCTCCTACAAAACTTGGGTACCCATTGGGGCCCAACCCAAGGTCTCCAACTCAGAGCTTATAAACACATTGAAACTCTTCCATATTTCCTATGTGGGACAAGGTTTTAGATACCAACTCATGGGAACCACACCAAACATTTTCATGTTTATAAGGCTCACTTCGGTATCAGTTTCTCATTCACTCGTAAATGGTTTCGACCACCGGAGTATATATTCTTGTTCACCACATGGCAAGGAACGTATTGCCACTTGGACCCACCTAAACCGAGGCGTAGGGTCTACATTAATGATAGCTCAAAATTACCGGAAATTAATGGTGATAAACCATTTTTATCTAACAATCCCCCACATGAATGAAATTGAAAACGAATATGCAACAACATGCAGACATTGAGAGTACAAAACTGAAAATATCCTGCAAAGGATAGGTAGCTTTGGGCTTTGAACCTTCCCTTGTGAAAAACGATCGGGTTTACTGGCTAATTAGTGAATATGATGTCTTGAACTATTCTGCCATTGGTGTAAACCGAGACAACAGTCTGTCACACAGTTTTATTTCCTTACACAATCTGGTTCTATCGGTTGTGCCCATTTTGGCCCTAGACAATTCCTGGTTTTCCTGAGTGCTCTAAAGAATTAGCCTTTTTTCAATTCCCATAGAACCGGCCCAGTTCACACTCATATAGGTGATTCTCATTAAGAGTATTCTGCTATACCCCACTTGGATTTCCAAGATATGAATATCATTAAAAGCAAAGCTTAACCTGATTAGCGCTGCAGACATCACTATGTCATCATAGGAAAGAGTAGGAAAATTTTTCCTTAGTGATACTAATGAGTCACACATAATTCGATTGTCCCTTTGAACCTAGATTTTGGGATCTCCAGTCAGCTAGGTTGGGTTGCCATTAAGCCGACTCTTTAGTTAAAAGACTTTAATCCCATGCCCCTCGATGATCTTAAAACTTGCTCACTGGTCAAACCTTTGGTTAACGGATCCGCGATATTATCTTTTGACCTTATGTACTCAATGGAGATAATTCCATTTGAGAGCAGTTGCCTAACAGTATTGTGTTTACGTCGAATATGACGAGACTTACCGTTATACATATTATTTTGTGCTCTTGCCATTGCTGCTTGACAGTCGCAATGAATGCAAATGACTGGCACAGGTTTTGGCCACATTGGGATATCCTCTAGAAAGTGACGAAGCCACTCTCATTTTCACCTGCTTTATCTAAAGCGATAAATTCGGACTCCATTGTGGACCTTGCAATGCATGTCTGTTTGGTTGACTTCCATGAGACTACTGCACCTCCCAGGGTAAATACATAACCACTAGTAGACTTGGAGTCTTTAGTGTTTGAGATCCAATTAGCGTCACTATAACCCTCTAATACTGTTGGATATCTTATATAGTTCAGCCCATAGTTTCGAGTATACTTTAGATATCTAAGTACCTTAACTATTGTTGTCCAGTGGTCTGTTCCTGGATTGCTTGTATGCCTACTTAATCTGCTAACTGCATATGCTAAATCTGGACGTGTGCAGTTCATGAGGTACATTAAGCTTCCGATGATCCGGGAGTATTCTACTTGTGATACACCTTTACCCATATTTTTCATCAAATGAAGATTAACATCTATAGGGGTCTTAGCGAGACGATCGTCATGCTTGTTAAATTTCTCAAGTATTTTATCAACATAATGTCCTTGAGACAAGGTATATCCTTCAGATGTCTTTGTAATTTTTATTCCAAGTATAACATCTGCTATTCCTATATCTTCATGTCAAACTTAGAGTTCAACATTTTCTTGGTAGCTTTGATCATTTCATTATATTACTACCAAGGATGAGCATATCATCTACATATAGGCAAACAATGACATATCCCTTTTTTGTGTTTCTCACATAAACACATTTATCACATTCATTAATTTTAAATCCATTTCACATCATTACATTGTCAAATTTTTCATGCCATTGTTTGGGTGCTTGTTTTAGACTGCAAAGAGACTTCACAAGTTTGTACACTTTTTTCCCTTGCCCTGGAACCATGAACCCTTCTGGTTGTTCCATGTAAATTTCCTCATTCAAATCGCCATTCAAGAATGCAGTTTTAACATCCATTTGGTGGATCTCAAGATTATACAAAGCTGCAATAGCTATTAATATTCGAATAGATGTTATTCGTGTTACAGGTGAGTAAGTATCAAAATAATCTACTCCTTCAGTTTGCCTGTAATCTTTAACTACAAGTCTCGCCTTGTATTTATCAATTGAACCATCCGGCTTCATCTTCCTTTTAAAGATCCACTTGTAACCAAGAGGCTTACAGCCTGGTGGAAGATCCACCAATTCCCATGTATGATTTTGCATAATTGATTCAATTTCACTATTGATAGTTTCTTTCCAAGAAGGAGCTTCAGGAGTGGACATTGCTTTTTTGAAAGTTCGAGGCTCCTCTTCCAGTAAGTACGTTAAGAAATCAGGACCGAAAGATTTTTCTGTCCTAGCCCGTTTACTACGTCTGGGTTCCTCATCGACTTTCTCCTTTGGGTTTTTCTCAACTTGCCTTTGATCATTGTCAAAAGCAGCATCATATGTCCTTTTAGGCTCTTGTGTCAATTTACAAGGAAACATATTTTCAAAAAATGATGCATTCCTAGATTCGATAATTGTATTGACATGAATCTCTGTGTTCTCACTTTTTTGTACTAAAAATCGATAGGCACTGTTGTTGTTTGCATACCCAATGAAAATACAATCAACAGTCTTGGGTCCAATTTTAACCCTTTTCGGTTCTGGTATTGCCACCTTAGCCAAATACCCCCACACTTTCAAGTATTTGTAGGAAGGCTTTCGACCTTTCCACAGTTCATAGGGTGTTTCATGAGACTTCTTATGAGGAATTTTATTGAGAATATAATTAGCGGAAAGAATAGCTTCCCCCCACAAGTTCTGAGGTAACCCTGAACTTATTATCATGGCATTCATCATTTCTTTCAAAGTGCGATTTTTTCGCTCAGCAACTCCATTTTGCTGAGGTGTATAAGGTGCAATGGTTTGATGTATTATTCCTAATTATGAACATAAGTCACCAAATGATGCTTCATATTCACCACCTCTATCATTCCTTATAGCCTTTATTTTCTTGCCAAGTTGATTCTCAACCTCAGCCTTAAATTCTATGAATTTTTCTAAAGCTTCATCCTTGCTTCGCAGCAAGTATACATAGCAGTACCGAGTGCTATCATCAATAAAGGTTATGAAATATTTTTTCCCCCCTCGTGTTTTAACAAATTTCAAATCACATATATCACTATGGATTAGATCCAGAGGTTCA